ATCATGCTTGTATAAAGACATGATAAAAGGTAATAGCAAATAAATAACAAATATTTTTATTGAACTTTTGGTTTATTCATAAAACCCTAATTTGAGTTATCTTTCAACTCAAGGGAAAATATATGCTATTTATATAAAATAAAATAATAGTAATATAATTTAATAAATATAATAAATATAACTAATTTATCTAAATTAACAAATATAATACATATAACGAATATAATAAATCTGGTAGATCTGTCAAATATAACCAATTTGTTATATTCGTTAGATTTGTCTAATTTGTCATATTAGTCAGATCTATCAATCAATTTAAATCACATAATTGGCTATAGTTAATCAGTGTAGTATGAATCACATCTTTAACAGATAATTTTATCTAATAATAAATTGAGATTGATATAATTCTTCTATAAAGAAGAGATAGTATTATGTTAATCTTATTATCAAAAGTAACCAAAATGCTTGAATAAGATATTATTAAATGATTTACAGAAACTTAAGCTTCTCTTGTAGTAATAGATAGAAAATCTGATAGATCATGAAGATTTTATGTCAATTATTAAGAAGTAATTTTATTACCAAAAAGTATGTATATTCATTTTTTCAAATAAAATCTTGGGCTTCTTAAATAATGCTTGCTGGTTTACTTCACTTGATCTATTTAATAGATACTAGCAAATTAAAATGGATTTCAATTTCAAAGATTGAGAAAAGATTGCTTTTGTGATAAAGTTTGATACTTACCAGTTTAAAGTTATGTCTTTTGGATTTGTAATACACCTGTCACTTTTAAACAGTAATAAATCGCATTTTTGAGAATATTTTATGAAATTTGTGATTATATATTTAGATGATCTCAATATTTTCTCAAAAAGTTTTGAAGAACATATATATTACTTTTTAGATTGTTTTGATAAATTACAAAAAGCTAGCTATTTAATGTTTAATATTTATTTCTTGTATAAAAACTTCATTTTCTTAAATATAAGATTTTTAATGGTATATTAATGAATCCTACAAAAATATATAAAATCCAAACATTTTTACAACTAAAGAATGTTATATAAGTTTGACAATTCTTTAGTCTCACTTCCTATTATAGAAGATTTATATACAACATGTTAAAAATCGCTATTTTGCTTAACTTGCTACTAAATAATTCATTTAATTAGACTCCTACACAAACTAAGACATTTGAATATTTGAAGAAATACCTTGTCTTAGTATCAATCTTAGCTTATCCAGATTTTTAAAAGGAATTTTTATAATATACTGATGCTTTAACTTTTGTGTTTGGCTTAATTTTAGCATAAATAGATAATAACAAAAGATAATACATGAGGCCTTTATAATAGAAAGAGGGGAAACTGCTAGGAAAAATCAATTTATTTTTATATGACAAATTGAATTGAATTTCAGGCTAAAATATGTTCAAATTTAACATTAACTCATTTATTTATTTTTTTTTTTGGCAGTTTCCTCTTTTTAAAGATCCTACATCATTTCCTATACTAGTAGATCCTTATCTTCTTTTGAGAAGCATCATTTTTAAAAAATAAGAATATTTGGCTATTATTTGACTATTTGACATTTCTCGCATTATTATTATAGAAAGAAATTCACCTTTATTACTGATTATGCTGCTTTATATTACCACTTCAATATGGTAATCCCTACCAGAAGATTGGCCTGATGGGTTATAAAACACCAATCTTATTATTTTAGAATTTTGCAATATAAAGAAAAGAAAACATACCAATGTAAACACCTTATCACGAATAGTTAATTAAGTTAAGCTCTTTTTCTCTTTATAAGAAACCCTTCATTAAACTTTTACTTGACTTCAATTTTGATAACTCTTCTTAGAATAACTTACTGCTCAAGGTTCTTGTATCTTCTAAGATAGAGCCTATTCTGTTTCCATTTATAGGAATCCCTTAACTGAACATTTTAGTTTAAAGAAACTTATAAATCTATTAGTCTTAAATATTTTTGACCACAAATGGGAAATGATATTAAAGCATAACTATAGATTTATTATTATAGTAAAAAAAGGACTTTGTGCTATTTTTTTTTCGTAATGCAAATTTTTATTTTTTCATTACGCATCGAAGATATGACATTAAAATATCAGTAAAATCTTGAAAATCTTAAATTTATTAATTGACTTATTATTGAATAAATAAACTATATAATTTGATTGATTATCCATTTATAAACAATCACGTCAAAGTTTCTTATATTTATATTTTGCTCTATGGATAAAATTTTTAAGGAAGCCTATTATTATTTCCTAATAATTTGAAATACTTCATAATCATCTATAGAAAATTTATCTTCAGTATCCCTTAACTTTTTGTCATAATAAGTCTTTTTACAATAAATTGTATTATAATCTGATGACTCTTCTGAAGAATGTATGAAAAGATCATGACCAAAAAACGGCCCGTAATGCTCCCGATAATTTATTGCATGATTTGCATCATCAACATGACTTAAAATCGCATCTTTAATAAAGTATTCCTCAATTCTAAGGGAAAATATAAAACTATGACTAGTTTTACCCCATTCATTAGCAGATTTCCAAATTAGGGGATTATGTCCTCCTAAGATTTCTTTCGTCCCTTTTACTTTGATAAATGTAACAGTATTAGATATGCCATCACATGTTGCGTGAAATTTTTTAGGAGTAAATCCATCTTGACTTCCTCGTAGTAATAATTTGAATTCGTAAGGTAAATATAGGTCTCTGGCATTATTAACATATGCTTTATCAATCCATCTTGAAATTAAGGAAACAATCTTTATATTAATGATTTTTGAATCAAAATTTCCAATCCTAGGAAGTAAAATGCTATAGGTAATTTTACTTTCAGGATCTAGATGATACGTTAATAAATTCTCATAAAGTTGATGATTTACAAGCTTTTTATACGGGCGAACTGATTGTAAGAATTCTTTCGATGACAAACTGAAAAATCTGATCAATGGAAGATGCTGATGTAAAGTATTTTCCATCGATTTAAAATCATCATCTTTCCATGTTGCAGGTTCAGGAGTAAGTGTTGGATTTTGCGCAAGACCCCATCTTAATACATGTGCCCAAACTTCAGCTTCACTCATTGGTAAATCGTCTCTTTTAATGAGCGATATCAAAGATTTTTCAGGAAGTGAAGTAAAATCAAGTGATTTAAATATCTTTTCAGGTGTTTTAATCATTAAATCCGTACAAAATTGTTCAAGGTCTAATAAATTACTTGATTGAAGACTTGCTTTATGAGTAAGTTCAAAATGCTGTTCAATCCATTGAAATTTATTTTCAATAAAAAACTTTTGTAAGTAATCAACAAGTTCTTGAAGAAGAAGGTCATCAGCAGCCACCAAGACATTAAAAATTTCTGAAGCGTCTTGCGTATTAAGTGTAAGAACGCCGCCATAAATATATCTATCATTACAAAAAGAAAGGAAGTGAAACTTTAAAAAAATAAATTAATATACATGATGTACCGTATATATAAGATACTTGGTTTATGCTTACTTTAAAATAATTTGAAAGGTGTCTGGAGATATATTTGGCAATTTCAAATGATTCAAGACATCATCATGATTTTTTCTATTCGAAGCCAAAGCTAGTCGTAAAAAAGGAGAACGGAAACATAAAATATTCATGTGAGCACGGAACATTTTTACATTAGTATCTTCACCAACTTCCACTGTGACATCATAATATTCATCACCTTCCAACAATAATTCGTTGTAATTTTGACTTAATTTCGAAAAAAATTGTGTAAACATTTTTATAATTTTTTTTGAGGGGACCGGATGATTAGAGTGCAGTGCTTTTTTAAGTCGATCAGTATAGTATGTTACGTAATTTAGAGGTTGTTAACCATTTGATTAACCGGTTAATTTAACTCGGGCCGGCTTTAAATAATTATTATCGTCAAGAAATAAAATTGGAATATTTTCATGTATTTATGAAACTTTTATTATTTTTAATATTGAAAATTCTATGTAATTTGTATAATATACAAGAGAGACTATATTGAAAATATCTGTTCTGTTAATAGTCGTCCTAAACTAAGGAGTTTATGTCCACGTGATTTTAATTTTGTCATAATAAATATTAAAATTATTGATTTTAAATCTCTATTAAACTTACCAACGTCGTTCGTAATATATTTTATAAATTAAATTTTTCTAAAACAAATGAAAAAGTCACTTACGAATAAGGGGATTCAAATATTTCTATTCGGCAAAAAAAGCCAAATCGGCATTAACTGATTTCTGGGATTAAATTTTTAATTTCACTAATGCAACAAACAACCAATTATGATCATGATCGGACCTCTACGGAGAAGGTTTTTTTGTCTGAAATTAGCGTGATATGTATATTTTATATTATTTTCACTTTTAGTTTATCAATTTATTTTTTACTTCTACAGTTCGAGCGGGCTTTAGTAATAATATATTATTTCATAATATCATCAGTCACATAATATTATTCTCAGAGCTTCTATATCTTGGTATATCTTTGCAGTTAATAAAATATTAATTTTCAAATCATCATAAAAATATTATAGTATCATACAAATAAGATTCTACAAAAATCGGATTAATCGTAAATTGAATAAAAAAAATCGAATCCATTTTTAGTGCCGCAGCATAGCATACATGCATCATCATTTTCTGATTATTTTATCACATATAAATAGATCTGTAACTTGATCATTTTCAAAAGAGATGAAACTTCTTTCTAAATAATACAAATGTTCAGCATCCCTTAATCCATGGCCAATTGGATTATAACCCACATATATTTTCTTTTGATTTAGCTTACAAATGGCCCTTGTCCATTAAGCAAATTATTAAAGTTTCTAACATCTAAACCATCTCGACTTTAAATAAATAAGATTGAACTTATAACTAATATTGAATGAACGAACAGTTGAATCATTTCTATCAGCAAGATTTGGATCGATATTTTGATTTATTCAATCTTCCTGTGTGAGCGGTAAAGTGGTTGATTTTAATATGGTATAATGATATTCTTCAACCTCTTCATAAATTTTTAAAGGAATAGCCGCTTTATAAGGAAGGACTTTATCAAAGAATTCAATACGAGAAATTCCCACGAAACGAATAAGTGTAATGTACTGACTTAACTTTTCTTTCAATTTTTCAAAATTCTCTTGGCTCCATTTAGCAAGATCATTACCCTTAAATTCCAACCCAGGAGTCTGTTCAATACTAAATTGATCAAATTATCACAAACAACAATTTCTTCAACTTGTAAATCATCCCTTTTAAGTAAGTCAAAAAGTATCTCTTTATCAAGCGATGGAAAATATTTTGAAGCGCTGATTGATTCGAGACAATAATCCTGCAATGTTTTGCATCCAATAAGTTTAAATACGGTATGAAGAACTCGGAAAAAATTTTGTTGAATCCAATTAATATATTTTTCATTCAAGGAATCTTGAACGTGTTGGAATAATTCGAATAGTTCATATGATGCAATAAATAGTTCTAGAACTTCACCTAACTTATTGGTCAAATTAATTTCACCTGTATAAGTGATATTAGGCTTTTTTAACATGTATCCTTTTTTACAATCCAACTAGGAGAAAAAGTACACTTAAATATGAAGAAATTGCTGTTAAAAACACTGTATGTGCCCGAAATTCTTTTATATTTTAATTTTCACCAACTTAATAATAACTTTGAAATAATCGGCATCGTTTAAAATCGATGAAAAACCTTTTAAAAGTCCGGTATGGACATTTTTTACGTATTTTGTAATAAATGATTGATATAGTCTTTCAGACAATCAAACTTGTAATAATAACTTTCTAAATTTGGTTGGATTTTAATTATGATTTATCACGACATGCGAAAATCACTGAAATGGCGGTGTGTTGTGTAGAAAAAGTAAAAAATAAAATAAAAATAATTATTGTTCGGCATTGTCTCCGAAAATGCCCAGATGGTATTTATGTGGCACAGTAATTTTTGTAAATACCATCCTTTGTAATAATAATATTTGTAACGACATATGAATGATTAAATTAATTCCGGCATCACGGGGATTATTGTTTTTACATTTGCTGTAATTATACAGTATATGCAAAGTCAGATTGATCGACCTTATATAAACTTTTAGCTTATGTTTTTTACCTTTAAATCAATAACATTTTTAAAAATCATGAGAATCTTTTTTATTCAACACAATTTTTTTAATTTATTAAATGAGAACAATAATACAACTCATATTACAAGACTAACGAGCAAATATAATAAATAATTATAGGTAGGATGCAACTTGCAAAATTGACTGTTAATTCATTTGCAGAATTTGGAAGTATTCTATCACTTATTGCTTGTCGACCAGGAAGTTTCAATGCAGATGAAATAAAATTGAAAACATCTTGAGTTTCATTTTTCTCCATAAATGTAAAAGGAAGCAACACATAATTTTAAAATTTAAACAAACAGCCTTTTTGTTCGTCTTTGGATTATCTGGTTTGGTTTTTAAAAAAAAAACCCCCCCCCCCCCCATTATTTTCACGCTTAATATAAACTTAATCCAAAAAAGGTTTGGTTCAAAAAATAAAGTTCAGAAAAAGATTTCCGATAAAAAAAATTTTTTAGCGTTAATAAATATGTGGATCATATCGTGACCGATCACGAATAATAATTTTAATGATTATTTATACTTGTACGAAATTTTCTTATTACAAACCAAAATGACTAAATGACCCAAATTCTTTCAAATGACAAAATGACCTAGGTCAATGAGTCATGAGTTATTTGCAAATGGCTTGAATTCTAAATGACACGGAATGACAGCATGACTTCGGGTCATTTGAAAATCAGTCAAATGACCTCTTTATAGTTACAAATGAAACTCCTAAGAGTAGACTTCTTGAGTTGTGTAATTATAGTGCTTTGACTATTGTATTCCTTATGGAGTTCTCGTTCTTCATCATTATTGTTTGTAATTGTCATTGAACTTTTTTTGAGATTCGAGACAGTTTTTATGGAATTTTGGTAAAAAATAAACTGAATTTTAACAAAGGTTGAGATAAAAAAAAGTTGAAATCGAAAGAAAAGTAAATTTTATTAAATTGTGAATTTAATAAAAATACAATATTAATGGTTGACTCAAGTTAAAAATCACTCATTCAATCATGATAATTCGAATCAAGTGCTATAATGAACATTGTTCGTTTGACCATTCAAATAATTTGTCGATTTTAATTAGTATTCTTAACACATGACTATATAATCGATAAAAAAGAAATTAAAAAAAACATTCCGTTTGAGTAATGAATAATATGTATGAAGTATAAATAAGAACTAATTGTCCATATTCATTCATTCAATTCATTCATTGATTTTGTTTTTATTTCACTGAATTATAAATTTTGTTTAATATTAATTATGTATTTATTTATGTTTGCAACTTCTCATTTCAATAATAAACAAGGTAATAAAAATTTGTTTTGTTTTTATTTACTTTAAAATTAACTACTTTGATGACGGAAGAATCAATCTGAGCTTAAATAATAATAGACGATATGACAATTTCATTAATTGAGATGTCATTTATTTTTATTAATCGAATGAGTCAAAACCAACCTTAGTCTTTGAAAAAAAGGAATGTTTTCGAAATTTGCAATAACAAAGAAGCGAGTGACAGGCAATGTTATGACTGTGTTAAATTTATTTAGACATTATCTTCACATACGTGTATAAGTTTTAGGCGTATTTAAGATTCAAAGCCTAAAAATTTGTTATATTCTTTTCATCTTTCTAATCTTTCTAATCGAATTCTAAGTAACATAATAATAATTTCGCTAGCAGTGACAAATATTTAGTGCCAATTATAACCGGTAATTAACCGGTTATCCAACCACTATATTTGAAAGAATTTATTCGAGAGAAATCTCAGTATGTCAGCAAGATTTGAAAAATTCATTGAATGAGTCTTTGACATCGTAAGGATTCCCTTTGAAATTAGGATTTGAATATTTTCAGGAAAGTTAATAAATTTTGGCGATGAAAAAAAGTAGGGTATATAGCAATCATGTATGAGATGCTTTTTTATGTATGGAACTTATTTTTTTTTACCATGTATCATGTAGTATTTACTAGAATGGAGACCGTTGGAACGTCTAACGCGTTAATTCACATTAGAAATTCCAAAGTAAACGTAGCACAAATCAAACGTATCACAGAAAATTTAATAACCAAAATCTAAAAGTAGTTAATAACAAAGATAATCGGATATCTTATTTTGTAAACATTTTTCAATTTACATATTTTATTTCGTGTAGAAAATTTTACAATTCACACGCTTCTCTTCGGCTATCCTCTCTTTTAGCCTCTTACAAGTTTTAATACGTTGAAGTCTTTCAAGAGAAAATGGACTAAAAAAAATATTTCGAGAGTACAGACCCAAGATATTGCCACAAATGAGAGGCCAGCAACAAATTCCTTTTTTCCAAGATCTATTATAACCTTTTCCCATGTAAGGCCCTGACTATTATGAACCGTGATAGATTATGTAAGACAAACAGATATTTACAAGCGAGTCTTACCTTCCCAAGTATATGTAACTGGCGAAATTGAAACAAGCCTTTTACCCTATGAAAAAAATCCCATACAGTTTTTGTGTAGCTTTTTTGCCAAAAAAACACTACAATTTTCGGACAGTGCAGTGTGCCAAAACATGAAAAACCCTAGTACCTGTACGGTCAAATTTTTAGCACATTTTTCCTACAACATCTGAATTAGGAAAATCAACTGTACTAATCGATATAGCTTTTGTATG